GACGCGCGCCGCGCGACGCCCTCGGCCGTCGCGACCGTCGCCTCGTCGGCCTCTCGGGCCGCCGCCTTGGCCTTGGCCGCGGCCTCGGCCTCGGCGGCGTCGGACGCCGCCTGCTGCGCGAGCTGCTCGGCGTCGGCGAGGCCCGCGACGCCGCCCGCGCCCGCGACGAGGTCCTTGAGCGCGTCCGCGGCGGTCCGCGCGGTCGCCGCCTCCGTCGCGGCGCGGGCGGCGGGCGTCGCGTCGTCCACGGCCAAATCGCGCGCCGCGCGCGCCTCGGCGGCGAGCTTCGCCGCGTCGCCGGCGACCTGGGCCGCGCGCGCGGCCGCGGCTTCCTCCGCGGCTCGCTTCTCCGCGGCGGCGGCGGCGTCGACGGCCTCCTTCGAGGCTTTGGCCGCCGCCTCCGCGCGGTCCGCGCAGCCCTCGACGACGGCGGCCGTCGCCTGGGCGCGCTTCCAGTCGTGATCCAGCTTTTCCTGGCCCGCGGGCGACATATCCTCGCTGGTGCGCCGGATGAAGCCGCGGATGCCGGCGCTCGGGACGTCGCCCTCCTCGCGGGACTTCTTCTTCGCCGACGCGACCGCCGTCGCGCGCAGCGCGCCGGCCTCGGCTGCGAACGCCGTGGCCTCGGCGGCGGCGGCGCGCGCCGCCGCGACGTCGACCGCGAGGCCCGGCGCGGCCTCGAGGAGCTCGTCGCACTCGCCCCGGGCCGCCTCCGCGCCGGCGGCCGCGGCGCGCGCGGCGTCGCGCAGCGCGGCGTCGCCGCGGAATGACGACGCCGCGAAGGCCGCGGCCTCGACGTCGCGCGCCGCCGCCGCCTTGGCCGACGCGACGAGCGCGGCGACGTCGTCGTCGTCGTCGGCGGCGAGCGCGTCCGGCCCGCCGCCGGTCGTTTTCGCGTAGGCTTCGAGCGCGGCCGCGGCCGCCTCGCAATCGCCCACGGCGGCGTCCGCCGCGCCCTGGGCGACCTCGACGGTGGCGTACGGGTCCTCGGTCACGGCGTAGGCGCGGTCTTTGGCCGCGGTGGCGGCGCCGAGGAGCGTCGCGAGCTTGGCCTCGACTTGGGCCTGGCGCTGCGCCCGGAACGCGGCGGCGGCCTCGGCCGCGGCCAGGGCGGCGGCCTCGGCTGCGGCCCGCGCGGCGCGCACGCGCGCCTGGACGTCCTCCTTCGAGCCGCCGGCGCCGGCGGCCGCGGCCGCGGCCGCGCGCTCGGCGTAGTCCGTCGCCTCCGCCGCTTTCGACTCCGCGGCCGCGACGTCGAGCGACGCGAGGGCCGCGCGGCAGCCCTCGAGGGCCTGCTCGGCCTGGGTCGCGAATTTGTCGACCTCCTGGGCCGTCGCGTCTTCGGCCGCGCCGGCGGCGGCCGCGCGCGCGCGCTTCGCGGCCGCGCGCGCCTCGTCGACGCTCCGCTTCGCGGCGTCGACGCGGCCCTCGTAGCACGCCTTGGACGCCGCGCAGCGATCATCGAAGCCGACGCGCGCCAGCGCGCCCATGGCCGAGAAGGCCGCGCCGGCGTGGCGCTCCGCGTCCTCGGCTTTCAAGCTGGCCGCGGCGAAATCGCCGGCGTCCGCCGCGGCGCCGCCGGCGTCCGCGGCCTCGACGGCCAAGGCCGCGGCCTCCTTGACGACGCCGAGCAGCGCGTCGAGCGCTGTTGTCGCGTCGCGCTTGTCGTGGATCGAGAGCGCGCGGCGCTCCTCCTGCTCCTCGAAGGCCTCCTCGCGGCGCTCGCCCTGGATGAACGTCATCTTGAGCGGCCGCGGCGCCTTGGCGATGGCCTTGCGCAGGTCCTACGAATAGAGAGGGGGTGACATACCACAGCGTCTAGAAAAAACGACGAACCTCGAAGCGGTGCTGCGTCGGCTCGAGGATGACCTTGCCGTTGACGGCGATGAGCTCGTCCGTGGGCTTCAGCGGGCCCGGGTAGCACTCGCAGTTGGGCATCGTCTCCTCGACGTTGACGAACTGGCGGCCCTCCTCGCCGTAGCGCGCGAGCGCGATGGCGAAGCCGAGTTTGGCGCTCGTGAAGGTGTGCTTGAAGCAGATGCCGATCTCCGCCATGGACTCGATGTGCTCCTTGAGCAGGCCCCGCACGCGGGCCTTGTACTCCGCATCGGTCAGCGAGCCCTTGCCCTCGCCGGCCTTCTGGCGCTCCTCCATCAGCGCGCGGTCGAGCGGGTCGTAGCCCATGGTCGCGTGGCGCTTCGCCCAGTCGTCGGCCGTGAGGTTCTTCGACGAGTACTCCTGCTTGAGGGACCTGCGCGGGGGCGGGGGCGGTTTAACGACGAAGCGTGTGCGCCCCGGGGCGTGTGCGCCCGGGGGCGTCGTGGGCCGGCGTTCGCGATCGAGAATCTCGGAGCGTTTTCGTTACGGCGACGCGCGAACCTCGGACCCAAGGCGCAGAATTATCTCTGGGGGGCGGAACTCATCGTCTTCGCGTCCCGGGGCGACTCGCTCCTCACGAAAACGGTTCCGCGTTCGCGCGGCGCGCGCGGCGCCGAACTATCTCGATGTGAAACCGTTTCGACGCCGTCAAAGGACTTGGCTTTCGCGAGCGGGTTCGGCTTGGGGGCGCTCGCCTCGTTGGGCGAAGCCTCGGGGGCCGCATTCTCGCGGGACATCGTGTTTGTGAGCGCCAGTGTGCTACGCTTTTGCGCCGCTGGCCGCGCAAAGTAGCGGCTACGCGCTCGATGGCGTCGTGTGAGTTCCACAGCTTTGGAGCGGACCTCGCCGGGAACGCGCCTAGCCCTCGCCTGGACGCCTCGGCCTCGTCGGCTCTGGATTCGAGCCTGATTCGAAGATCCGCGTCGAGCGCCTTTGCTGACCGTGGCGATTGTTGCTTGATAATGAGTAGGGCGCCTGGGGGGGGGGGTCGGGCGCGGGCGCGACGGCCGCGGCCTCCTCCGGTTTGAGGAAGAAATAGCCCAGCCACGGGCCTTCGAGCGCCTCGAAGTGGAACTTGAACCCCGACTTCAGAACCCCGCTGTCGAGGTTCGAGAGGTCGCCGAAGCCGCCGTCGGTGGAGAGCAGCCACTTGCCCACCGCGAGGCCCGTCTCGGTGTCCACGTGGCCGCGGAAGAACGCCAAGGATGCGCCCGCGCCCCGAAGGAGATCCGCGGCATCGGCGCGCAAGCTCAGCGAGCTCTACCTGGCGCTGATCGTCGCGATGCTCGTGCTCAACTGCGTCGCGCGCGGCAAGGTCGTGTCCATCGTCACGTTCGGCGACTCCGCGGAGCGCTTCGTCACGAAGCTCGCCGAGCCGTTCCCCTTCGTCTGCATCCTCGGCAGGTTCATTCACCTAGAGCGAGACGCAACGCTGGGCCACCCGTCGATGGCGCGCGCCACGCGCGTGCTCGATGCGCTGCACCATCAGCCCGTCGAGCGCCGGCCCTAGCACTTGAAGTCTCTCGAACGCACTCGGCGTCGCCAGCCGTGTTCGTCGACCGCCGCACCGAGCACACGCCTCGAAGCGCTCCTCGAATCGCGGTTCGCGCCACAAAACAAAAACGATGATCCGGCGGTTATCGCTGCTGTCGCTCCTGACGCTCAGCGACTCGCTGCTCCCTCCGACGGCGCCCGCCCGCGCTACCACGGCCCTCCACGCCGGCGGCGGCGTGAGCGTCCTCCAGCGCAAGGCCATCGAGGCCCAGGCGAAGAAGTTCCGCGAGGGCCTCGAGGCCGGCGACCCGATCAAGGTCGCGCTCGACGCGGCGGCGGACGGCGGGCTCGAGGGCCGGAGCCGCGAGGGCTTCGGCGAGGTGCACCGGCGGCTCAAGCGCGCGAAGCGCGGCGCTTTGGGCGTCGTCGCCGAGTACCACACGACGACGCCCGCGGCGCTCAAGGCCAACGGCATCGCGGAGTACGAGATCCCGGACGTGTCGCTCGTGTCGAACGAGATCCGCGGCGCGGGCGCGGGCGTCATGGCGCTGAACATGGACCGCGTCGGCGGCGGCTGCGACGGCGACGACTTCGCCAGGGCCCGCGCCGAGCAGGCGAGCGCGGCGGAGGACTTCCCGGGCCCCGTGCCCCTCGTCTGGATGGACACGATCGTCGACGAGGTCCAGCTCGCGCAGGCGTACGCGGCGGGCGCCGCGGCCGTGACCCTGGGCCTCGAGACCGTCGGCACGGAGAAGTGCGCGGCGCTGCGCGCGCTCGCCGAGGAGCGCTACGGCCTCGAGGCCATGGTGGTGTGCGCGCCGCGGTCCGCGGGCGCCGAGGGCCTCGCGCCGCTCATGACCGCGGCCGTCGACGACGTCGGCGCGACGCTCGTCGTCGTCGGCGGCGTCGACTACGCCGTCGCCGTCGAGGCGCGGCCCACCATCGACCGCGAGGACGTCGTCGTCGTCGCGCGCGTCGACGCGAAGGACGACCAGGGCCTCGAGGAGGCCGAGGAGGCCTGGAAGCTCCGCGACGCGGGCTACGACGCCGTCTGGATCTCCGACGTGCTCTACAAGTTCGGCGTCTTCTCGGGCACGCTCTTCGCCGCGTCGCCGGACACGATCACTTCGGTGATCAAGGCCATGAAGTCCAAGGCCTCCGTCAAGTACGCGCGCGCGTCCGGCGCGTTCTCCGGCAAGGGCGAGGGCGCCAAGGAGTACCTCGGCGACATCATGATGTGAGCGGCGCGGCGCGGCGCTAATTATGCGAGGGGAAGTGGTGGTGTTGGGATAGTGGTTGAGGTGGGTCGTAGAGATGGGTCGGGTGGAAGTTAAGGTGGAAGCTTGTCGGGCCTGCGCCGATGTTGCCCGTGACGATGAACGACTGTTGCACATCGACCGGCTCGAGCTCGTTGGCCTCTGTCAAGCGTCTCGCCTGCTAACCGTGAAGATGGACCTCGAGAATACAAATGCCATACCGCCACCACCACTATTACCAGTGCAGCTCGCGCCGCCGGCAACGCAAGCCATGGACACGGAGGCCGCTGCTCTCTCGTCCCCGCGCGCCCGCGACGCCGACGGCGCCGTCGACGCGATCACGCCGGCGCTCGGGCGCCTCATGTCGAAGCGCGAGTTCCCCGGCGGCGAGCGGTCCGCGCTGAGCGTGCGCTGGGACGCGAACGTCCAGGACGACGACGACGAGGACTTCGTCGTCGCGCGCGAGTGCAAGCGGCGCGACGAGTGCAAGGCGACGCCGACGGCGATCCGGACGCTCAAGGCCGCGGGCGGCGGCGGCGCGCGCATCATCTACAGCGCCGCGGGCCTCGACCACCTCACGGGCGAGGGCCACCAGGAGAGCCCGAAGCGGCTGCGCGTGCTCCTCGACGCGCTCCGCGAGTCGCCGGACGCGCCGTTCACGGAGACGACGTTCCGCGCGCCGCTGAGCGACGTGCTCCGCGTCCACGACTTCGACTACGTCAAGCATCTGCGGTCGACCGTCGCCGCGGCGCCGGCCGAAGCGCCGAAGCAGGCGACGCCGGGCGCGTGCCTCGACAGCGACACGCGCGTGTCGCCCGGGAGCCTCGAGGCCGCGCTCGCGGGCTGCGGCGCGGCCTTGGTCGCCGTCGACGCGGTCTGCGGCGGGAAGTCGCGCGCCGTACTCGTCGTCGCGCGGCCGCCGGGCCACCACGCGGGGCCGCGCGGCGCCGTGCCCACGGACGCGCACTTCTGGAAGTCGCCGGAGATGTGCTCGTGCGGCTTCTGCCTCCTGAACACGGCGGCCGTCGCCGCGGGCTACGCGCGCTACGCCTACGGCCGCGACGACTCGCGGGGCCCGCCCGTGCGCCGCGTCGCCATCGTCGACTTCGACGTGCACCACGGCAACGGGACCGAGGCGTGCGTGCGGAATCTCGCGCCGCGCCGCGCGCGGCTGCCGCTGCCGCCGTCGTGGCCGCCCCAGTACTACGACGCCTACGCGCCCTGGCTCGACGAGACGGACCCGGCGGAAACCTTCTTCGGCTCCGTGCACCTCTTCGCGGCCGACGGCTCGTTCTACCCGGGCAGCGGCTCCGGCGACGACGACGACGAAAACATCGTCAACGTGCCCCTGAGCCCCGTGGGGCCCTGCCGCCCGGGCGACGCGCCCGCGCGCCACGCCCTCGGCGACAAGCAGCGCGACGCGTGCAAGGCGAAGGCGTCGGCCGAGTTCCGCGCCGCGGTCGACGCGAAGCTCCTGCCCAAGCTCGCGGCCTTCCGGCCGGACCTGCTCATCTTCTCCGCGGGCTTCGACGGCCACGAGAAGGATCTGTACCACTTCCTCTCCGACGACGACTACGCCTGGTTCACGACGGCGTGCCTCGACGCGACGCGCGGCTCCGCGGGCGGCTGTGCCGAATTCAACCACTGGTTTGGGTGGTCCTGACCAAACTTGAGAATTCTCTAGCTCGGTCAAATCGAAGTCGATTCGGCTGATTTTTGGACGGATCGATTGCTCTCATTGAGTTCTCGAAGCCAAGCCAGAGAAGTTGCGTCGAAACCGTCGCTACGCGCACATTGAAGTCGAGTTGAAGATTTGAATTCGGCACAGGCGCTCGGCCGCGCGGTGTCCATCCTCGAGGGCGGCTACAGCGTCGACCCGCCGCCGCCGAAGCGCGGCCGCCGGTCGAACAAGCAAAAGGAGGAGCCGCCGCCGGACCTCACGGGCGGCCTCGTCGACGGCGCCACGGCCCACCTCAAGGCCCTCGCGGCCTTCGACCCGTGAGGGACGCATCCCCCGCCACACATATCGCCGCGCTCGAACCACCACATAGCCCGCCTATATAACCGTCGATCTTCGTGCCCTTTTTTATCGAGCGGTCCCGACACCCTCCATCGGGTCCGGCGCGGGTCGAAGGCGTGTGGTTCGTCGGACGCCTCCATCACCTGAGCCCATCCTCGAGCTGCTCGCAGAACTTGCAGTCGACCGCCGTCGACAGCGTCCGCGTCCATCGCGCCGTCGCACAACACACACCCGAACACACGCCATGAACGTCTTCGCGAAGTGCGCGCGGCCGGCCGTGACGCTCGTCGCGCTGGCCTCCTGCGTCGACGCCTTCGTCGCGCCGCGGCCGGCGGCGCGCTGCCTGGCGCCGCGGCCGTCGGCGCTGTCGTCGGACCGCGCGGAGCTGCGCGCGCTGCGCGTCAAGGAGCTGCAGGCGGAGCTGGGCAAGCGGAACATCCGCTGGCAGACGTTCCTGGAGAAGGAGGAGCTCGTCGTCGCGCTCTCGAACGCGCTCGTCGCCGAGGCGAGCTTCTCGGCGTCCGGCGCGATGGCGCCCGGCGTCGTCGCGGAGCTGACGGCGGAGCAGTTCGAGCTCGAGCTCGCCGGCGACCCGGCGACGCCCATCCTCCTCGACGTCTACGCCAAGTGGTGCGGCCCCTGCCAGATGATGGCGCCGCAGCTCGCCAAGGCCGCGGAGGAGCTCGGCGCCGCCGCGCGCGTCGCCAAGGTCGACAGCGACCTCTACGAGGCCCTCGCGTCGACGCTCAACGTCGGCGGCCTGCCGACGGTCATCCTCTTCAAGGGCGGCAAGGAGGTCGACCGCGTCGAGGGCGCGCTCATGAAGGACCAGCTCGTCGCCTTCGCCAAGAGCGCCGCGGACGTCGGGGCCGGGGACGCCTGCTGCCCCAAGGGCTGAGCGAGGTCGCGCGTAAGCACCGTGGGGGTTTGTGGCGATTTTCGTTGAAGTTCGCAGAGCACCCAAAGGTGAAGGCCGAGGCACCTCGGAAAAGCAAGGTGTGAGGCTGCCAGGGCAGCCCGCCATGGCGTCCTACGACAACGACGACGTGCCGGCCTACGAGCCCTACGAGGAGAAGCGCGGCCCCGACGGCCACGTGCGGCCCATCACGCCCGGCGTGACCTACATCGAGCGGCCCGACGACGAGTGGCAGACCGACGCCAAGGGCTGGTGGGACCGCACGGACTGGAACTGGACCAAGGAGGAGAAGCAGGCCTTCGCGGACAAGTACGACGACACCGTGGGCACCATCGAGAAGGTCGACGAGAACATCAAGATGTGCCACCGCTTCGGCATCACGCTCGAGGAATTCGAGCAGTCGAAGAAGGAGTACAACACGTTCGGCGCGCCCAAGAAGTCGGCCATCGAGCAGGACTATTTGTACGTGGCCAAGCACATGCGCGACTTCATCGAGACGGCGCGCACGGGCGTGCCCTGCGACGCGACGTGCACGCGGACGCTGCTCCACTCCTGGGGCACGATCAAGAAGAAGCACTACGACGAGTTCATCGCGTTTTTGGGCGAGGAGGACTGCGTGCTCGACACGATCCAGCTCAACGGGGACTGCGGCATCGGCGCCGAGGGCGTCGAGCGGCTCATGGACTGCATCGTCGCGAAGCCGTCGATCACGTCGCTGAACTTGATGGGCGCGCAGATGGGCGTCGCGGGCGCGAAGATCATCGCGGAGCGCCTCGTCGCGTCGGGCCTCACGAAGCTCGACATCTCCTGCGACGACATCGGCGACGAGGGCGCCGTCGCCATCGCCGAGGCCTGGGAGAGCGGCGCGAAGCTGACGGATCTGACGCTCGTGAACGACGAGGGCCCGATCAAGGCCGACGGCGCCAAGGCCGTCGCCAAGGCGCTCGCGAACCTCCAGAAGGCGGGCACGTGCTGCCTCGAGAACCTGTGCCTGTCGGGCAACAACATCGGCGTCGAGGGCGGCATCGCGATCGCCGAGGCGCTCGGCGAGTACCCGAAGGAGCTCGACATCAAGGACAACGAGGTCGGCGACGGCGCCATGCAGGCCTTTTGCGACCGCCTGTCGACGGGCGAGACGGAGCTGACGTTCCTGGACCTCATCCAGAACGGCCTCACGAAGGAGGGCGCGCACATTTTGGCGCCCGCGTTCCGCAAGTGCAAGATCGAGTGCCTCCACATCCACTGGAACGAGATCGGCACGGAGGGCGGCATCGACTTCGCGGAGATGCTCGGCACGGGCGAGTCCAAGCTCAAGGAGATCTACATGTGCGACAACGAGATCGGCCCCGAGGCCGTCCGCCGCTTCTGCAAGGCCATCGGCAAGGGCGACCTCGAGGTCCTCGACCTCATGGGCAACCCCTGCTCCGTCGAGTGCGCCAAGGAGCTCGCCATGTGCAACCACACGTCCGACAAGCCCCTCCGCCACCTCGAGCTCGGCCTCTTCGCCATCGACAAGGAGCAGCTCGAGGCCGAGGAGCGCGAGTGAGACGGGGGGCCTCGACGTAAGCTCCGTGCGTTTGGCGGTCTCGCCGCGCGGCGTCTCCTTCCCGCCGCGCCGGTGCTGCGCGGGACACGTCGGGCGGGGCGTGCTAGTGGGGGGGGGAGGATATATCCCTTCAATAACGGAGGAAAAAAGCGACGCCGTGCGCGATCATAACATAGGAACAGTGGTTCTGGTCGTCAGCGGTGACACGCAGCCCCGGTTGCCGCTCGCGCGCGACGCCGGCAGCCCCGGCGCCATGTTCGACGTCTCGGCCTGGTTCCAGGACGCGTTCTGTGGCAACGTCTTTTGCACGGACGCCCAGTCGATCCTCTGCGAGGACGCCTTCAATCCGGACAAGCCGCCCGAGGAGGGCCAAACCGTGCGCGAGGCCGCGCCGCTGCCCGCCGTGAACTCGAACAAGCGCCGCGCGGCGAGCCTGAAGCTCGCGGCGCGCCTGAAGACGGCCGTGCTGCAGAACGCGGGCAAGAACGCGCTCCACGCCGACTGCGCGCGGTACTGCGAGGCCGCGCGCGACCAGATCTGCCGCGAGGGCCTCGGCGCCTGGGCGCGCCTCGTGCCCTCGGGCCACCGCCTGACCCACGCCGACTTCCAGAGGGTGCTCGGCGTGCTCGGCGTCGGGCCCGAGGGCGTCGAGAACCCGCGCTGGTGCGTCCGCGCGTGGGCCGCCGCGGCCGAGGGCAGCGAGGCGCGCCAGGACCGCGAGCGCCAGCTGCGCGCTTTGGGCATCGCCGGCGCGGCCCTGGACCGGCCGGACCCCCACACGGGGAACACGGCGCTGCTCATCGCCGCGGCCGAGAACGCCGTCGGCGGCCGCGACGCGCCGCTGAACCAGCTCGTCGAGTTCGGCGCGGACCTCTTAGCGAAGAACAAGAAGGGCCAGACGCCTCTGCTCGTGGCGGCGGGCAAGGGCCACGCCGACGCCTTCCGCGCGCTCGCCTGGTGCCTCGAGCGCGACGGCAAGCTGGCGGAAGCGGCGATCCTCACGGTGACGAGGGACCGCGCGTCGGTGCTCGACCTCATCGTCGACCGCGGCGACGCGCCCATGCTCGTCGAGGCCCTCGGCTTCGCGGACCTGCGCGCGCTCGTGGACCTCAAGACGCGCGGCGGCGACACGCCGCTCATCGTCGCCGCGCGCCGCGGCCGCCGCGACTGCGCGGCGGCGCTCCTGGACCACGGCGCGAAGCTCGAGGCGACGAACGCCCAGGGCCACACGGCGCTCCACACGGCCGCGGAGCACGGCCGCGCGCCCGTCCTCGAGGAGCTCCTCGCGCGCGGCGCGCTCACGGACGTCGTCGACGCGCGGGGCCGCACGGCCCGCGCGCTGCCAACGACGGCGCGCGCTGCCGCGCGCTCCTCGACACGGCCCACAACCGCCGCGCGCGCGGCGCCCACGCGAAGCGCCGCACGAGCCCGAAGCGCATGCGCCCGTCCAAGACCAGCGCCGCGCGGCGGTCGCGCCACTGAACGGCCGCGCCGAATTCGACCTCCTAAAGTCGCAGATTTATACTGGGGTGTTTGTTTTGCGGGTTTCTGTTTTTTTGGGTGGCGTGGCACTCTGGGGGGCGCCTCGTCGGGCTCCTACCAGCTCGCTCGCTCGTCGACGCCTGCGGCGAAAAATTGTTGCTTCCGGCCGTGCTCCACCTCCTCCACCAACCGCGCGCACCCCGGGGTTCGGACGTCTTTGCTCGTTTGCACCCACGACGCTCGAGGACGCGCGAGGAGATGTCTTCGTCGCAAATCCCGTCGACATTCGGCCTCCGCTGGAGCCAGGCGCTTCGTGCGGCGCTCGCCGCCAAGGTCGCCTCCCTGCCGCCGTCCGGGGTGCAAGGCGTCGTCGTCGCGATCTACGGGCGCGAGATCCTCGCGCTGAAGCGCACGTGGCACGCGAGCTCCATCGACTTTTCTTCGCTCAACGATTTGTCCTTGGACCGCGCCGCGGAAAACCTGCGTGCGCTCCAGCGGGCGGAAGCGCAGCTCGCGCGGCTCGCGCGGCGCGCGATCGCGGCGGTGCCCGGCGACGCGTGGAACCTCGTCGTGGGCTACGGCGGCGTCACCGTCGCGGTGTCGCTGCGCTGCTGCTCCGCGCAGCTCCGGCTGGGCCCGAACGTCTTCGCGAGCGTCTTCGCGGACGCGACGCGCGAGCGGTTCCCCGCGATGGCGCTGGCGGTCGTCGCGGCGAACGGCCGCGAGTCGGACCACGAGGCCATCTACAAGAGCCTGCACGAGGCGGTTGCCTCTCGGCTTTCCCCGCGGCCTCTCGTACTGCTCGCGCCGCCGCTCCCGCAGAGGGACCAGTTCGCGTTCACCGTCGAGATCATTCATTTCGGCGACGTCGTCATATCAACGACGGCATCAATACCTGAGAATACTCTCCGCCTCTCGCGTCTCTACACGCCGCCCTTGTCTCTGGCGTCTACGTTTCTTTTGACACCGAATTTGCACCCGTGGCCCGACCCTTTTGACACCGAATTGACACCTGTGGCACCACCACAGGGCTGTGTCATTATGGACCAGGATGGGCGTGTGCGGGACGCGGTCTCTGCTCGCGTCTTCTGCGTGAACATGACGACCGGACACGCTGCTCTGATCTACAACGAAGCGTTGACTCAAGATACGGTTCCTAGTCAGTCCGACGGGACTCTCGCACAGAGAATCGTCGGCCCGCGCCGTCGGCTCCCCGTGCGTGACGTCATCCTCGCCGAGGACGCTCCTGCCGATGAACGCGCTTTGCTCGGCGCAGTTCAGTTTCAGGGGCTGTACCATCAGCTGCATTCTGCTCAACATGGAAACTTTATCAAATTGAGAAGTGACCGCGATCGTCTAGTGGTGGAGTTCACGGTACGCAGCACGAACGCTACCAACTCTGCATTTTTGCGCACTCATCATCACCCTATTCTCGAGTCACTCCTCATCTACCTCACGCTCTTCCTCGACTTCAACATACCCCTCCGCAAGTCCGTCTAGGCCGAATCATAAGCTAGCCTACCCCTCCTAGACTACTAGGACCTAGACAGGCGTAGGCCGGTTCAGCGAGCTGTGGAGCAAAGCTCTCAGAAGTTTAAAACGTCAAACCAAAAGGAACGCGCCCCCGACGACTGCTGCATCAGTACAACTCAACCGCGGGCGCAGAGCGCCGCGACGACTCGAAGACGACGTGCACGACGATGCCTCGTCATCGATCGCTCTGGCTCGTCGCCCTAACCAAAACGACCGCCGCCTACACCTGCGCGGCGCCCGGGGGCACCGTGGCGGAGCTCGTGCACGCCCTGACGGAGGGCCCCTACGACAAGGCCGTCCGCCCGTCGCGCGCCGTGCTCGCCGCCGCGGCGCCCGACGCGGCGGCGTACGCGCGAGCGATGCGCGGCGCGAACGTCTCCGACGAGGCGGTCTACCTCGCCGCGTCCCTCTCGTCCATCTCCGAGCTCGACGAGACGGCCGAGACCTTCGACGCGACGGGCGTCTTCTCCTACCGGTGGCGCGACGCGCGCCTCGCGTTCGCGAACCTCAGCGCCGGCGGCTGTTTCGACGCCGTCGACCTCTCGCCCGACCTGTTCGCGCGCCTCTGGCACCCGGACCTCCACTGGGCGAACCAGATCGCGACGGGCCGCGCGCAGCCGGAGGCCCGCTACGCCCCGGCCGCGACGCTCGCGAGCGACGGCACCGTGACCGCGACGACGGCGACGACGGCGACGTACACGTGCGAGCTCGACCACGGCCGCCTGCCCTTCGACACGCAGGCCTGCGCGCTCACGGCGGGCCGGCGCCTCGGGCGGGCCGGGGAGCGCTTCGTCGTCGACGGCGCGTCGCTCGTGCTCGAGCCCACGGTCGAGTCGCTCTACTGGTACTTCGCGAGGACGTCCGCGCGGCTCGAACACGGCGTCGCGCAGCTCGAGTTCGTCGTCAAGCGGCGGCGCTACTACTTCTTCACCAACGTCTTCGCGCCCGTGACGGCCTTCGTGGTCATCGCGGGGAGCTCCTTCGTCGTGGACCGCTACGCGTCGTCGGCGCGCGTCGGCCTGTGCGCATTGAGCCTGCTCATCATGATCAGCCAGATCCAGTACCGCGTGAAGATCCCCGACGTGCCGCGGCCCATCTGGCTCAACGCCTACCTCGGCGGGAGCATCTACTTCATCATGGCCTGCCTCCTCGAGTACTCGCTCGTGGCGAGCGGAGCGCGGCCGCGCGCGGCGCGGCGTACCTCGCGAAGCTGCTGGCGGACCTGCGGCGCCACCACGAGCCGCGCGCGCCCCGGTCGCGCTCCGTCGCGAACGTGGCCCTGGCGACGCCGCGCCACGCGCGCGACGACGGCGGCGACGACGGCGACGCGCCGAGCCCGTCGCGCGACGCCGAGCTCGCGGACCTCGTCGGCCGGCTGTCGTCGGCGCAGCTCGCGCCGGCGCGCGTGACCTTCGACGCCCACGCCAAGGGCGGGGAATTGGGCGTCGGCGACGTGAAGCGCGCGCTCGTCGACTTTGGGATCTACTTTTCGCGCGCGCAGACGGACCGGGCCGTCCGCATCGTCGTGCCGGCCTCGAAGGCGAACCGCGTCCTCGACTTCGAGGGCGACGAGGGCGACGGCGACGACGCGCCGGCGAAGGTCCGCACCTTCGCGACCTTCGTGCTCGTGCTCTCCGCGATCGAGGGCCACCAGCAGCGCGCGTTCTCGGAGACGTCGACGTCCTTCGCGGACGAGCCGCGGTCCAAGCAGATCGACGAGGTCGCCTTCGCCTGCTACTTCCCCGCCTACCTCGTCTTCCTCGCCATCATGTTCGCCCGGATCGACTCCTACTCCGGGTAGTTGAAGCACCCATAATAATAATAATAATTCGGGTAGCTTCGTAAGTTGAAGTTCAACATAGAAGGTGCCGTAGCAGCCCATCAAGGATGGCCCTCTTGCAATGAGCCGCACGCGGCAGATCCGATGGCTGCCGCTGGGCCTCGGCGTCTTCATCGGCGTCTTCGTGCTGGCGGCCGTCGCGACGCTGTTCCGCGACGACGCCGCGCCGCCGAACGACGACATCGCGGGCCTCGACGGCGCGTGCCGGCGCAACGTGTCGTCGGCCTGCGGCCGGCGGCTGCGGCTCGACGAGGCCCTCGCCGGCGGCGGCGGCGCGTGCCTCGCCTGCGTCTGGGAGACCTGCGGCGAGCTCTACGGCCACGCGGCGGCGCTCTGGCCGCCCGCGGCGCGCGACCGCGCGCGGCACCAGCGCGCGCGCGAGTGCGTGCCCATCGAGCCGCTGCGGAGAGCCGAGTGGCGCCACGACGCGCGCGGCGGCGACCACGACCACGAGCTCACGGGCGACGACGCGGACCCGCGGGCCAACGGCGCCCTGGCCGCGGCCGTCGCGGCCAAGGCCGCGCTGCTCGGCGGCGACGCGGTCGCGGCGCGGCGGCGCCGCGTCTACGTCGACCTCGGCGCGAACCGCTACGAGTCGTCCATCGGCAACTGGTTCCGCCGCACCTACCCGCGGGCGGAGACCTTCGACGTCGTCGCCTTCGAGGCCGAGGACGTCTACGACGACACGTACGCGGGCGCGCCCGACGTCGAGCTCCACCACTACGCCGTGTGGACGCGGAACGAGTCCGTGCCCTGGGGCCACATGGCGAAGAAGACGGGCAAGCTCCGCTCGGGCTTCGTGCTCCCGCGGCGCCTGACAAGCGCCCACGCGCTCGTCGCGGACGCGGCGCGGCCCACGCGCCCGGGCATCGACATCGCGGACTTCTTGAAGCGCCGCTTCCGCGAGGACGACTTCCTCGTCGTGAAGATGGACCTCGAAGGCGCGGAATACGCCATCGTGCCCCACCTCATCGCCGAGGGCGTCGGCCCCTTGATCGACGAGCTCTTCATCGAGGTGCACACGGAGACGAACACGTGCTGCAAGCCGCCGCGCGACGCGGGCCGCCACCGCGCGGACGCGCTCCGCCTCATCCAGCGGCTCCGCGACGCCGGCGTCTACGCCCACGAGTGGCTCTAATTAGCCGGGGATCATCTCCGTGAGGCCCGACGCGGCGGCGAGGGCCTCGGAGTCCATCTCGAGCGTCCAGTCCGCGGGGAGGTCCTCCTTGACGAGGTCGCAGTCGCACTCGTGGCTCACGGGCTGGTCGTCGCAGACGTCCTCCCAGCCGAGGCAGCCGCGCACGATGTCGCTGCGCACGATGTGGGCCTCGTGGAAGGCCCGCACGTCCGGCGTCGCCGCGTCCGCGTCCCTGAGGCGCACGTCCATGGAGCTCGTCCACCACTCGGACCGCGCCTCGGGCGTCTGCAACTCGCGGGAGAAGAGGGGCTCGGCGGACCGCACGGCGAAGCCCCCGCTGAAGCCGACGAGCTCGCGGTCGCTGCGCTCGAGGTCCACGTACTGGACGCCGCTGTACGCGCCCGGCGTGCCGACCTCGACCTCCGTGGACTCGTCCGCGGCCTGGAGGTCCGCGAGGTTGTCGAAGTCGCGCATGTCGACGCGCACGATCTTGCCGTAGAAGTCGCGGCTGAAGTGGGGCACGAGGTAGGCGTACTCGCCCATGGCGAAGCCGAAGACGAAGCCCCGCAGCTCGTTGTCCGGCTCCGAGGGAATCTGGAGCCGCGCGACGCGGCTCAGGTCGATGACCTTGACGCCCGTCTCGAGCGTAAAGTCGTCCATGTCGACGCGGACGACGTGGGACGAGTGGTCCCGCTTGTTGTAGTTCGTGTCCCGGAGCCCGTTCCGGTGCGGCACCAACACCAGGTACTTGCCAAAGTTGATGCCCCCGATGAAGCCCCGCAAAGCGTCGCCGGCGATCTCCGTCGTCTCCGAGTTGATCTCGATGCGCGTCAAATCCAACACCTGCTCGACCTCGAAGGTCTCGAGGTCCACGCGCACCAGTTTCCCGAAGAAGCCGCGATCGCCCGGCCGGTTCTTGTAGGGCACGAGGAGCCCGTAGCGCCCGATGACGGCGCCGCCCGCGAAGCCCCGCAGGTCCGGGTCGATCTCCGTGAGGTCCAGGACGTCGACGGCCGTCGTCAGGTCGCCGGACGTGAAGTTCGCCAGCGCGAGCCGCACGAGCTTGCCTGGGCAGCAAAAGAGAGATTCAACGTCGCTTCAACGTGAGTGTTCCGCGCGCGCGCGTTCCGAAAAAAGCATCAACGCTTCGAGACCCGAGAGATGATCGCTCGTCCAAAAGTCAGCCAAAACGAGTGGAAAACGGCCGAGATAGGAGCCTTTGAAGTTGGGAATTTCGCCCTCTTGTGCTGCCCTGGAACTCGCCGTGGAAGTACTCGACGGTCCGGTCGCCGCCGACGGCGACGCGCTGGCTCAGGCCGTTCCGCAGGGACGTCGACCGCGTGTCGCTGTAGTCCAAGTTCGAGTCGTTGGCGTGGGTCCAGGAGTCGATGGGGAACTGCGTCGAGATCGTGCCCACGGGACCGTAGATGTTGCAGTGCGGCACGAGGAAGCCGTACTCGACGCCCGCGCGCGGGTCGCCCGCGCGGAGGCCCGTCGTCGTGTAGCCGAAGCCCGAAAAGAAGCCCCCGAGCGTGCCGGCGCCGTGGGGCAGCGTGTCGTAGTCCCAGAGATCCAAAAATTCGACCGCGGATTCGTCGAAGGCCACCGCGTCGACGCGCGCGACGACGTGGCCCGGGTTCCGCCCGTCGAAGTGGGGCACGAAATACGCATAATCGCCCACGGCGAAGCCGCCGACGAAGCCCCGCAGGCGCTCGTGGGTCTTCGTGAGGTCGATGCTCTCCGTGAGGCCCGGCGCGTCGCCGTCGGGATCCGCGGTCAAATTGCCCTCGCGGTAGTTCTCCACGGTCTCCAGCGAGACGCGGCCCGAGGGCTCCTTGACCGTGCCGTTGAAGACGCAGAGCTCCTTGGTCACGTTGACGATGCAGCACCGCGACACGTTGAGCGTCGTCTCGGCGAGCACGACCTCTTGATAGGTCGTCCCCAAACGGAGCCTTACGGCCTTGCCGCTGTAGGAGACGCCGTCGAAGTAGGGCGCGAGGAACCCGTAGGTCTCGACGCTCAAACGGCTCGTGTTCTTCGTCATGTGCACGGGGTCGCGGCGGTCCGAGGGGCTGCAGCCGAATTTCGCGACGGCGACGGCGAGCTCGTCCTCCGACACGAGGAAGCGCCGGTGGTAGTGCATGGAGATGGCCTTGCGCTCCGTGGAGTTGCGCCGCGCGTGCTCCTGGACGAAGCCGTGGAAGAAGCCCCGGAGCATGGTGTCGTTCGCGTAGGCCGCCATGTCGTGCAATCTCACCTGGCCGTCGTACGCGCCCGTGCCGCGCTGGTACTGGAGCGTCGCGGGCACGAACTTGCCCTTGTAGACGACGTCGGCGGCCTCGCCCTTGTAGTCGTAGGTGTAGTACTCGGCGAAGTCCGTCTCGACGCCGTGGATGCGCACGGACTTATAGGTGGACGTGTTGAGGTCCACGGACGGCAGCTTCGCGCTGTGGCCGGAAGGCGCGGGCGCGTAGTCCACCGTCGTGTCGATGTAGTTCTGGCCCCGGTAGTAGGGCACCAAAAAGGCCATGCCCACGCGGCCCGTGTAGCCGCTCCGGTCGTAGTCGTAGGTGCCCATCTGCACCTCGTACGTCCGCGTGACGATCGCGCTGTCGCGGTACTCCTCGTCGAGCCGCTCGGGCGCGCGCGCGAGGCAGCGCAGGGTCAGCGTCGGGTGCTGCGTGCCGCTCATGTGGATCATGCCGCCGCTCAGGTACTTCGTGGACCAGCGGTCCGGCTCCGAGCCGTCCGTCGTGCAGTGGACGACGACGCCGGGCCCGAGCTCGTGGAGGAACGTGATGCCCACGGCGGCGTCGACGGCGCCGCTCGGCGGCAGGATGAGCGGCGCCTCGAGGACGCCGCTGTAGGTGATCGTCGGCACCGACGTCGGCGGGTTCGTGATGCGGTCCCGGAGCCGGCGCCGCGCGTCGTCGTCCTGGGAGGCGTTGGCCGCCGGCGGCGCCGCGTCGGCGTCGCCCGCGGGCGTGATCCGCACGCGCGCGGGCCGCTGCTTCGGCGTGCGCACGAGCCGGGGCTTCGCGACCTCGCCGGCGAGGCAAGCCGCGGCGCAGAGCAGCAGCCCAACGACGGCCATGCTGCCCAGTAGGTGTGCAATGCTGCCGCAACATCACCCCGGACGTCTCGATGTTGCCCTTACAAAAACGCGAGGGCTGCCCGCTCGAACCGGTGCACCGCGCCGCCGGCCATGGTGCTCAACTACAGCAAGTGGGATGCCATCGGCGACTCCGACGACGACGACGCCAAGACGCAGCCCGCCGCGAAGCCGGGGCCGCCGAAGAAATCCATCGACCAGCAGCTCCTCGAGGCCTACAACTCGGATCCGTCGAAGATCGACGAGCTCGAAAAGAACGTCAAGGACGTGCGCCTAAAGCTCGAGGAGGCGAAGCGGCTCCGCGACCTGGCCAACGCGCCGCCGCCCCAGCCGGGCCAGGTCGCCAAGGGCATCAAGAAGGCCGTGAGCTCGCAGTCGGAGACGCTCACGGACGAGCTCGCGGCGCTCCAGCGCCAGCAGGCGTCCCTCGACGCGCAGGCGGCGAAGCTCCGGCAGCTCGAGCAGTGCGGCGACCAGGCGGCGCTCCTCGACTTCTTCGCCGGCGAGGGCCTCTCGCACGAGCAGATCCAGCGGGGGCTGACCGGAGACGCCGAGGCGATGTTCGCGCAGCTCGCCGAGACGGAGAAGGCGACGGAGACCGACGGCGAGCGCAAGTCCCGGGAGGCCCTGGCCCTCGCGGACCAGCTCGAGCAGGTGCTGGGCGACGACGAGCCGCCCGTCGCCGCGGCGCCGCCCGCGGCGCCCGCGCCGCCGCCGCCGCCGCCGCCGCTCGCGCCGGAGATCCTCATGCCCGACGTCTTCCAGCGCCAGCCGACGGCCGACGACAGGAACCTCGTCGTCACCGTGTCGCTGCCCGGCGTCGCCAAGGGCGCGACGAAGCTCGACATCTCCGAGTCGGACATCCGCCTCTACGCGCCCGCGCCGCCGCGCGGCGGCCGCGACCGCGAGTACCGCCTCAACGCCAAGCTCGCCCGCCGGGTCCTCTCGGACCAGGCCAAGGCCAAGTGGAAGTCCAAGGCCGAGCAGCTCGTCGTGACCATCCCGACGCTCGCCGGGCATTAAAAGCGGGTGGTGGGGTACGTCACGCCGTTGCGTTTGCAAGCGAGGTTGTTAAGCGTGCGTAGGACCGCTCGAACACAAGCCGCGGGTGCCCCTGCGACGAGGACGAAGGCGACATTAAGCGGGTGGTTCTCTACGTTGCAATTGCGCCGCAGGCGAGCGGCGCTCGCCGGGCACTAGTAGGCTGCGAGGTTGTTAGCGCGCGTAGGGCCGCTCGAACGCAAGCCGCGGGCGCCCCTGCGACGACGACGACGAAGGCGACCTCTCAGAGTATGACGCAGCGCCGCGGCTTCGGCGTGCAGTTCGGCGCTGCGAGGGGGCGCGCCGCGTGCGTGCGCGCGGTCGCGCGGCGCGGGCGCACCTTGCGTGTCGACGACGAGCTCCGGGCCCTTGTCGTCGCCCACCGCGAGGCGAAAGTTGTACGTCGACCCCGGGTTGAGATTCGGGATCGTCACCGCGACGTCCGCGGCGTCGACGGTCCGCGCCGCGGACCACTCCTGCGAGGCGCGCGCGTGTGAAGAGATGCTGCCGCGTTCGAGCGGCGCGCACCTCCGGGTATTCCTTGTACTCGATGACGGCGCCGGCGGGCGCCGCGACGGAGATCGTCGCCGACGTCTCCGTGCACGTCTTCCACTCGGGCTTCGGCAGCGCCGTCATCGTCGCGCGATCGCGCACAACGAGGAGCGGTTGGAGATGGGTTTTGGAGCCGAGCGCGATCGCCGGCACGACGAGGAGTGGTTGGAGATGGGTTTTGGAGCCGAGCGCGATCGCCGGCACGACGAGGAGTGGTTGGAGATGGGTTTTGGAGCCGGCGACTGCAGTCGATTGCTCGTTACGCGCACGCCAGCGCTCGTCGACGCGATTGCCACAGTCGTCACCTTGCCGGCCTCGAGCCGGCTCGGCGAGCTTGCGAAGCTCGCGAAGCCTGCTCAAGAATCGGCCTGCGGTGGTACATTATGTCGCGGATCGTAGCCCTCCTCGCGCTCTTCGCGACCTCCCAAGCGCTCGCGCCGGCGCCCAAGAAGCCCGCCAGCCCCGGGGTCGTCGCGAAGACCGTCGGGAAGCAGCTCGTCTCCGCCGGCATCGCCGCGTCGCTCCTCTTCGCGCCCCAGGACGCCAACGCGGCGCGGTCCGGCGGGCGCGCCGGGGGCGGGTCGCGCATGCGGTCCGCGCCGTCGCGGTCCTACAGCAGCGCGCCGCGCGCCGTGCCGCGCGGCGGCACGCGCATGTACGCCGCGCCGATGGCCGTGCCCGTGCCCGTGCCCGTGTCGCCGTTCGGCATGGGCTACGGCTACGGCGGCTACGGCTACGGCGGCCCGAACGTCGGCGCCATCGTCGGCCTCTCCATCATCGACTCCATCGCCCAGGAGCAGCGCCGCAGCGCCTACATCCGGCAGCAGCTCGAGACGCAGCGCGAGCTCGGCCGCGACCAGGCGGACATCGACCAGCTCACGAAGATGCTCGCGGCCCAGGACGCGCGCATCGCCGAGCTCCAGAAGCAGGTCGAGCAGAAGTAGGCGGGGGCGTACGTCCCTAAGTGATCTCCGACTCCAGGGGGGTTAATAGAGAGGCGAGCGACGCGCGACTACCGCGCCATCCACGCGACGGGCAGCGGGAGCTCGAGGTCGTAGAGCTTCTGCGTGTGGAGGGGCATGGGGTCCTCCTTGCCCGCGGCGACGGCGTCGTTCGTGATCTTGTAGAACCAGCCGTTGCGCCACTCGAACTCCTTCACTGCCGTCGGGAAGTGCGCGACGGTCCGCGCGTACGCCTTCAGCCGCTCCGGCGCGCCGGCGGGCACGGCCACGCCCAGCGCCTCGGCCCCGGCGTCGAGGAGCTCCGCCGCCAGGGCGTCGAACTCCGCCGCGTGCTTCCGCTCGACGTCGCCGACGCTGCAGCCGTGCGTCGCGCCCACGAGCATGAACGCGCAGATCCAGACGTGCTTCTCGAGCATGGCGACCGCGAAGGCGTCGCCCTCCTTGACGTGGCACGTCAGCTCCTTGAGCGCGAGGCGGCTCGCGAAGGCGTCGGCCCACTTGCCCGTCGCCGCCGTCAACCCCTCGGGGTTCGCGTCCGTGACGCCGTCCGTGGGCGTCTCGCCGAGTTTGGCGACCGCGAGGTAGACGAGGACCTGCGTCGCGTCGCCGAGGCCCTGGCCTTCGAGGAAGGGGCCGAGCATGCCGTTCTGGAGGAAGCACAGGTCCGCGCGCCGGTCCTCGGGCACCGCCGCGACGACCGACGCGAGCGCGTCGTTGCGCGTGCAGACGTAGATGGGCCCGCTCTCCGGCGCGTCGGCGGGCCAGCCGCTGCTCGACGTCATCACCGCGTCGCCGTCGGACTTGAGCATGGACCCGATGCGCCCGGACCCGACGATGACCGCCGGCACGTCGTGCTCCGTCGGCGCGAGCGCCGCCTTGGCGGGCGCCTTGCTGACGACGCCGGCGGCGGCGAGCTTGATGCCAAAGTCGGCGAAGGACGTCACGCCCGAGGCGTCGCAGGCCTCACGCCACGCGGCGGCGGGCGCCTTGCTGACGACACCGGCGGCGGCGAGCTTGATGCCAAAGTCGGCAAAGGATGTGACGCCCGAGGCGTCGCAGGCCGCGCGCCACGCGGCGGCCGTCGGCGGGCCCGCCGGCGCGGCGGCCCGGCGCCTTGCTGACGACGCCGGCGGCGGCGAGCTTGATGCCAAAGTCGGCGAAGGACGTGACGCCCGAGGCGTCGCAGGCCTCGCGCCACGCGGCGGCCGTCGGCGGGCCCGCCGGCGCCTTGCTGACGACGCCGGCGGCGGCGAGCTTGATGCCAAAATCGGCAAAGGACGTGACGCCCGAGGCGTCGCAGGCCTCGCGCCACGCGGCGGCCGTCGGTGCCTTGCTGACGACACCGGCGGCGGCGAGCTTGATGCCAAAGTCGGCAAAGGATGTGACGCCCGAGGCGTCGCAGGCCTCGCGCCACGCGGCGGCCGTCGGCGCCTCGCCGACGGCGACGTCAGCCGTGGCAACGGGCAGCGCGACGCGCCGCAGCGTCGCGTGCGGCCGCGGCGGCGCGAAGGCATGCACCGCGGCGCACGCGCCGAGCGCGAAGAGCTTGTACCGGATCATCGTGCGCGTGTTAATGCTTAGTAGGGTTTTGTAAAATACGACTTTATTCAGGGGGCGCCCTCGGACAAAAGATCCGACGGCATGACGGGGTGGGTGGGTGGGCCCGGAGGTCGGGTTTCAAAAACCCGAAGTGTACTTAAAGGGTACTTGTAACGCGCGCGCGCGCGCGTGGAGGCCGCGCGCGTCCCGCGTCCCGCACCGCGCCAGGAGCCGGGAGGAAATGCCATGGGCCACGGCGGTGTCCTTGTCGAGTCGGGCCGCACCCGGCGTTCGTCGGCTGACCCGCGGCTGCACGGTGGCGGCTCCTGCAGCGGCACCGGCGACTCCCGGTCGAACCGCGGCGCCGCGCGGTCCCGCGCGCGCGGTGTGGCAATTCAGCGATAATCAGCGGCGCGCGACGCGGCAACTTGAAGGCAACCAACGAAAAAGGAGCTCGCTGATTGGTCGGGAGGTGGGTGGGTGGGCGCCGGTGGCCGGCACCAAAAATCCGTCATGCCGTCGGGTTTTGTTTTTTAGGTAGCCTCCTTCTTTATTTCAGGATCGACGAGCTAGCGGCACCGCTCCGCCGAGCGCAGGGGTCGATCCGGGGACGTAAGGTCGTTCTGGGCCGCGCCCGCGCGTCGCGACCATGCTCGGAGTCTTTGCGCAGCTCGCGCACCGCTCGGCGGGGTCTGGCGGCGCGCGCCGATTGACACCACGTCGCGTAGCTAGGCGCCGCGGCTGAGCGCGGCGTCGCCGGACGCGCCCCGGCCGCCGTCGTTGGCGCCGCCGCCGCTCGTGAACGGCGGCGGCGCGCCGGTGGGCGGCGGCGTCGTGCCGGGGCCCGCGGCGCTCGAGCTGGGGCAGTTCGCGCCCGCGCCGGTGCCGTACTCGCCCTTCTTCCCGCCGCCGTCGATGCCGACGTACGCGCCCTACTACCAGCCGTCGGCGCCGCCGCCGGCGGTGCAGCAGCCCGCCGTGGACATCGAGGCCACGGTGCGCCGCCTGATCGCGGAGGGCCAGACGCGCGACCTCGACCGCGACCGCGCCGACGCCGCGGTCAACGGCGGCCTGCGCGCGCAGCGCGGCGGCTTCGTGCGCAAGCGCTGCCGGTACGGCGCGAGCTGCTACCGCCGCGACTGCCGCTACGCGCACTGACGGCGCCGGGGCCGCAAGGTCCCGGCGCCGAAAGTCGCGTAAAGAAACAGACGCGGCGCGCGCTCCAAGACGGCGCGCGTCGTTATTGCGGGAGCCGCGGCGGCCGGCGGCGGCGACGCGTGGGCGGCGCGGCGGCGCGGGCGGTCGGCGGCGGCGGCGGCGGCGGGCGAGGGCCTGCGCCGAAGCGGCGCCGGCATTGGCGGCAGGGCCGCAGGTCGTGTGGACCGCGCGGCAGCGGTGCGCGCACGGGTGCGCAGGGCGCGGCGGGCGGCGACGACGACGCGCCGCCGCCGCCCGCGCCGGCGCCGCCGCAGCCGCCGCCGACGGCGACGGCGGTGCGCGCGGCGGCCGTGGAGCGGTCGCTGTGGGTGCTGTCGCTCAACGTCCGCGCGCTCACGGAGGAGAAGCTCCTCGTCCTGCGGCGCGCGCTCGGCGAGCTCGCACGGGCCGGCCGGCGGCCGGACATCGTCTGCCTGCAGGAGACGTGGGGCACCGAGGCCTCGGAGCACCGCTTCGCGCTGGAGGGCTACCGCCTGTTCGCGTTCTCGCGCGGCGGCCGCGGCACGCGGTCGCCGGGCGGCGGCCTCGCGACGTTCGTGCGAGACGACCTGCGGGCCTACGCTCTCCAGAGGGGCGAGAGCGGCGTCGTCGTGGAGCTGTCGGACGTCGTTCCGGCCGTGCACATCGCCAACGTGTACAGGTCGGAACGCGCCGACCGGGAGCTTCCGGTCGGCGCGCGCTTCTTCGACTTCGTCGGCGGCGCCGTCGACCGCGCGCGCGCCGCCGGAGCCGTGGCCGTCGTCGTCGGCGACTTCAACGTCGCCGGCCTCGAGAACACGGACCCGGCATGGCCCCGCGCGCCGGGGCGGCTCGGGAGCGCGACGACGGAGCTCTCGAAGATGCGCGCCTGGATCGACGACCGCGGCCTCACGGTCGTCAGCGGCGCCGGCTGCTCGCCCGCGGAGGCCGTGACGCGGCGGTCGGGCCCCAACGCGTCCGAGATCGACTACGTCGTCGTCGACGCCGGCCGTGGCGTCGACGTCGTGGCGTGCGCGACGGACGGCGACGACGAC